CCCACCTCACCTTGCCTTGGGCCTCAGATTCCCTGCTGTGTGGTTGTGGGTTGGCCTAGCTGTGTTCCAAGGGACCTGCAGGATGGAGGTGGCCAGCTTCATAGGGGTCTGGGAAATCTTGCCATTGATACCTGCATAGCATCGTTTGATATATCCAGTGGGCTTAGCCAACTGGGTTTGGGACTTCTCTGTGGAATCAGGAGTCAGAGGAAGATGGACAGTGGGGTGGGGACCAGCACAAAAGCTGCAGGGGTTACACCTGTTGTTGGTAACCTCGGGGTAGCACTGACTGGGACTTGGTGCAGGTTTTTTCTGTGTGTGGTCCATATTCTGGCTGTCTTTGTTGGAGCTAGCCAGCCTCCAGACCTGTCTTCATGCTGGACTGGCCCTACCAGATGCTTGATGTGTACCTCTGTCACCCGGTCTCTGACTCACGTATGTGACAGACCTTGAAGACTTTTCCCTCAAGTTGCTGCTCAGCTAGGTAGCATCTGATAGGTGGTAACCCCAGATGACCCCTGTCTAATCTTCCTTGAGTTAGGAGTCAGACACAGCTAAGGCACCTGCTGATAGAACCCAGGAGGTCATTGTTGCTGGCACCCAGAAAGGTTCGGTCCCTTGCCTGAGGGCACATACCTAGGAAGTGGCAGAGTTGCAGGTCCAAATCCACTGGGCTGCAGACATCCTCTCTGATATAGTAACCACAGAAAGGTCATTTGTAGAAAATGACTGGAGAGAGGTCACTGGAATTGAGAGCTAATCATGAAGGGACTTACCTGTTGGTGGTCAGGGGTACTCTCTGAAAAGGCACCTAGCAAAGTTATGTACCAGCTCAGATGGAATTGCCAAGAGAAATGGTATGTGCAAAGGCCTTGAGTTGGAAAAGAGGGAAATGGGTAAGGGGCAAGAACTTCATACCAAGGCAGCAACTTTATCTCAGTCCATTGGAATGACCTGGGGTCAGTCCCTGAATCCCTCTCAGCCCTTACGCCCTGCCTTGGGGGCTTCCTTGAGGCTGGTATGGCCTGAGACCACACTGATGCCTGGCTAGCTGTGGCCTGAGGCCACACAGATCCTCGCTTGGGCCTGCATCAGGGCCCTGGCTGAGAGGACTTGTTGTGGTTTGCCTGTGATGGCTGAGAGCCTCTGTTTGTTATGGTGACAGTTGTCACCTCAAGCCACACCTGGGTAACCCTGGCTGCCTGGCCATCTGGGCCTAGCCCCAGAATTGACGAGGACAGTGGCAGCAGCTGATAGCCTGAGGCTTGTTTCTGCCCCGTCTCCATGGTGGCCTCCCCCACTCCTGATGACAGCTGGTGGCTGCCCCACAGTGCTCAGGTCATTCCTGACGCAGGCCGATGTCCCTGCAGGGGAGGTGCCAAGGCAAGGTGGGTGCTGCCCAACCTTGGAGAAAGCACTGGCCTCTCCACCCTGCCTAGCTTCAGGGACAGACATGGCCTTGGTGAGAGGAAATAGAGCCCTGGAGGGGGGCATATCTTACACCATCCACGAATCTCTGGCATGAGGTGGGCAGCAGGCTTCAGCCCGAGAGGGAGGGGTGGGGGCTGGGAGCAGAGGCAGTGCAGGGCAGGGTGCAGCTGTGAGCCCCCACAGAGACACCAGTGTCTGCTGGGGCCTGGGGACCAGGCCGTGGCTCTGAGTTCAACAGGCAGTCATTCTTCCTGCCATCTGACAACTTATGTTCTTGCTTCAAAAATCCTCAAGAATAAAAATGCCACCAGGAGTTGGTGGCTCACGCCTGTAATCCTAGCTACTCAGGAGGCTGAAATCTGAGGATCACAGTTGAAAGCCAGTCCGGGCAAGAAAGTCCATGAGACTCTTACCTCCACTTAACCACCAGAAAACTGGAAGTAGTGCTGTGGCTCAAGTGGTAGAGCTGAAGAGCCGAGGGACAATGCCCAGGCCCAGAGTTCAAACCCCATGACTGACAAAAGAAATCCCCCAACACACACAAAAAACCCCAGCAAACCAAAAAACTTAACACTACAAACTGCCTATAATTCTCATTGTTTAAGATGGATTCCCCACACCCCCACCCCCTTTTCAGAGAAGACAGTAATAAACAGGCTAACTATTTATGTGCCATTGCATTACTAGCACCACTTCCTGGGTAGCATGCCCCATGTGAGCTCCTTGCAGATGGTCTCAGTCCTGGACCTCCAGGTGGGGCAGGTGGCATTTCTGTCTTTTAGGGAGGGTGGCATTACTGCTGTGCACTTCTCTGCAGCAGAGTGGAGGCCTGTGCATGCACCAGACTCAGGCCAGTGCAGAACTTCTGTCTGTTCCTGCCACGCCACACTTGCTGTGGTACACTGTGGCTTAGAGTTCCTTCTGGCAGCGACTTAGATGCAAGGGCAGAAAGGGCTTCAGGAGTGGATAGTCTGGCGGGGGGAGGGGAGAGGTGGAGAGGGAGAGGGAGGTCTCTGGGGAAGCCCAGGGTAGGTGCTGTTTGCTGTGATCATGGGCTCTTACTGCTGTCCCTGCACACAGGGAGACCGCTGCAGGAGGCTATAGTGATTGTGGCCAGGCCTGGCAGGTGTCCAGTCAGCATCCTCAGGGGACATACTCCTGGTCAGCCTAAGTGTCCAGGCCTGTTGCCCAGGTGCCCGATGAGGCTCTGATGTCACCTTGTGTGAGGCTGAAGTTGGAGCTGAAGTTGGTTCACGTGGCTTCAGGGACTGGGGTCCTCTGGGCAGGGGGGTAGCAGGGCATGGGCAGTTCTTAGCCCCCAGGAGGCCAGTAATGGGAGTGAGGCAGCAGCAGAGGTGCATAGGTGGGCAATGCAGGTGGTAGAGAAACAAGGCGAGGGACAAGCATGTGGCCCGTGTGTTTCTACTCTGATTGGCATCGTGGAGCCATGGTTGAATCCCAGCTCAGCCATTCACTAGGTTTGTGGTGCCTTGGGAAATCCTTTCCCCTCTCAGGAGAGTAGAGCCTGTCATCAGGGTGCCCAGAAGCACTGGCAGACCCCTGAATCTGCCCTGGGCCTTGCTTTCCTGCTTGTAAGATGACAGCCATGGTTTCTTCAGAGGTGACCTAACCTAATCCAGGGGTTGCTCTCCTGCTAAGTCCCATGCAGCCTGCTAGGTTCTATGATCTATAAAGGCCGACCTTCTTCTGTGCCAGCCCAGGGCTGGACACCTGGCTGCACCCTGCTGCCATCTTGAGTGTGGCCAGGCTGCTCTCATTTCCAGGAGTCAGGACTGAAAGAGAGGTGCTCTGGGTCTTGGGCCTCCTGTGCCATGGGGAGGAGAGGGTTTCTGGGTTCTCCAGGAAAGGCAGTTATGTTGAGAATTTTGCATGGGGCCGAGGTGTGGTGGGGAGCCAAGCACAGCTCGGCCTCTGGGTGAGCAGGTCTGGCTGGACCATCCCTGGAGGGTAGCTTGAGCTGGGTTCCAGCCCTGACCAAAGGTCAGTTCAGAGCTTACCTTGTCTGGTGTTCTCACTTCACAGGTGAGTAGTCAGGTGTGTGGCCTCACATGCCCTTAGAAAGCATGCAGGCAACAGCCCTGTTCCCTGTCCATTGTGTAACTATAGCTTTGGTTGCTTCTCCTGGGCATTGGTTTCCTGCTCAGCTCAGGCATCAGGCTGGCATCTTTCCTCTTGCCATGTTTATTTGTTTGTTTTTTTCCTCCCCTGTAGTTTTCTCCTCCAAAGAGTCCTTTTAGGGGCTAGTGACCTATTGGGTGGAGGAGATGCTGAGCTGGAGGGGGGTGGGACTCCCATGGTGGTGTGTGGGAGCTGAGCCTGGGTGGCCCATCTGGCTGGGGGACGGAGACTCTTAGGGCTAGGCTGGGCAGGATACCCACTACGCCTGAGTCTTGTGTTTGACAGAGCCAAGTTGGGGAGCCTCAATCTGGCCTTCTCCCAAGCCTCTAGTCACCCCACATAGGCTTGTTTTCCACAGTGACTCATGGGCAAACAGGCTCAGAGAAGGGACCCAAATGGAGCTCAGTCTTCCCCCACCATCAAGGCTGGCCCAAGTGGGCACAGATACTGCCCTAGGGAAGTACCTCAAACTAGAGGCTTCTGCAGCTCCAGTACAAGATGTGGGTGTGGGCAAGTAGGCCGAGCAGGAAGTCTGTCCCTAAAGCCTCCCCTGGACTGCATCTCCACCTGGGTTCCCTGTCTGCCGGTGTCTGTGGGTCAGTTCCACTTTTGTGAGAACACCCAGTCAGGCTGGGAGTGTGGCTCAGTGGTAGATAGCTCAAGATAGCTTGCTCTGCTTGTGTGAAGCCCTGGCTTTATCCTCAGTACTTCAGAACAAAACAAAACAAAACAAGACACCAGTCCTGTCATACTGGATTAGGGCCAACCCTAGTGACCTCATTTTAATTTAATTACCTCTGTAAAAAAATCTTATCTCCAAATAAGGTCACATTCTGAGGTAGTAGGGGTCAGGACTTCAACATAAGTTTTGAGAGACACAGCTCGGACCTTGATTAGAAGTTAAGCACAGACCTTCTGCACAGTCAGGAGTGCCTGTGTCTGGCACGCTCACTCCTTCGACCTGGATGTGCTTCTATAGCTGGGTGGGCTGCCCAAGCCCCTTCCCCACCCTAGGTCCACTCTAATCTTCAGCTGTAATGATAAGCACAGTGTGTGTGTGTGTGTGTGTGTGTGTGTGTGTGTGTGACCTGCAGGCCAGCAATGGGGCAGGTGGCCCTGGAGTGACAGTCACAGCTGCAGCTCAGCTTCTGGGAGGGCAGAGGAGCTTGGGCCTGGCCAGTGTGCATGGGATCTAGTCCTAGCCTGGCCACTTCCTCCTTCCAGCCCAGGCAGACACATGCTGTGGACACCTAAGGCTCTGAGGCCCCTGATCACATTGACCACTGATCACATTGACCACTCTGCATTTGTGCTGGAGACCCAGGGCCTCTTGAGGTCTGAGAGCCTGTGTCATGGCCCCCAGCATTACTTAGGCCCGGGGATGTTGATAGATGGAGAGATTAACCAGACTCCTCACCTTGCCATTTTAGGAAAATCCAAGAAGAAAAAGGATTTACGGATAACCTGTGTGTCCAAGCCGCCTGTGCCCAATCCCACGTGAGTCTGCCTCAGTTTCCTCCCCTGATCATCTTGGAGAGGCCTTCTGAAGGGGGTTGGGAGAGCAAGGAGGTAGGCTGTGGGTGGGTGCCTCTGCTCCTTGTCTTGGTCTGAGCTGCACTGGGCCCGATGGGTTCCATGGAGGCTGATGATCATTATCTGCTGTGGGCCTCTTCCCAGCCCTATCTTGGGGTTCAGCCCAAGGCCACTCACAGCAGCCCCATGCTGGCACTCAGGAGATACTCCAAAACTGACGAGATGACCCTGGGATCCGCCCACTGGGACCAGGACCTGCCTAGTTCCCTTGCTAGGCCTTTTCTTCCTCCTGGTGTGGGGCAGCATGGGGTTGAGGGCACTGTGGTCTTGCTGAGCCTTACGGGTCTGCTTTCTCCACAGACCTCCTCGGAATCTAGACTCCCGGACCTTCATCACCATTGGAGACAGAGTAGGTGCCGGCTGAGATGCAGGGCCCTCTCCTGCATCCTCTGCTAAGGCTGAGCTGGCCTGGAGGGCCACTGGGACTTGGCTGTGGGTGGTGGACCTAGCTGGGCACTGGGGAGGAACCTGTCTTCAGTCTGTGGCTCTGGGCCTCCTCCCTCTGACTTTCCTGTTTGGAAGAGGTCTGGTCAGCCTGCTTTATAAAGCCATGGGGAGCCCAGAGCTGGCATGTTGTCTGACCTCAATTTTTTTTTTTTTTTGGTCGGTCGTGGGGCTTGAACTCTGGGCCTGGGCACTGTCCC